AGTTTCACAAATTGTTGTTGAATTAAAAGAAGGAAGAAGAAACCCACTCCTTTTGTATAGATTCCAGAAACTCAGAATCTCCTAGATTTACAAGTAGGAAGTTAGTTGGAACTGGGAAACAATGCAGGACCTTGACAGAGTTGAGCTTCAAACTTACAAATAGGTATGAGCTATTCTGTTAGGATCATTTGTTTGAACTTTGAACCCCTTATGCACTTATAAATCTGAAAATTCACCAGAAAGCAATCAGCTGTTGTAATATTCTATTGTAACTATGTTTTGCATTTAGGGGGAATATTTTACAAATAGTCTCTGTTCTTAAAACATAAAGGAAAAACGAAGCAGGAAATGTAGAAAAGGCAGACTTCTTAACTAACTGACTTCTTAAATAACATTGTAAAACTTCTGGGAGATTTTGCATAGCGCTTACTGAGCTTGTTAAGAGCATCTACTTTTATTTTTAAAATCTTGGGATGAGGGTAGGCTACAGGATTTGCAGCCTTCCTATGCATGTTTTATTGTCCTTGCATGGTCTGCGACAGCAGTGGTGATACATTAACTGCAAATGGGAACATTTGTCTTATTATTGAAGATGTAACTGTTCTCACTTGCCTAATATCTGTGAAACAGCAGGACTAGGCCACAGAAAGGGTTCCTAGGACCTAGAACACTTACCTTAGAATAACAAGAATCAATACCATATCTTTAATATTTAACTGAACTTCTACTTTTATATCCTATTTATAACACTCGGAAGAAATTATTTTGAAAAAAACAAAAAGAAAAGAAAAAGAAAAAGTAAACACTCCAATAATCAAACATTCCATTAAATATTTCTGAAAGTTACATAAGTGCTGTTTCCACACATATCCCTTTCATTCTAAGAAAAATAATTCTACCCCAAAGACAGGTAGAATACAGCTTATTTGCATTTCTTTAGTATAAAGGGTTACACCAGAATATTAGGAATACAGAATAGGAGATAGGTAGAGAATTGGTAAGCCCTGAAGTAGTTGAAATAAGGAGCAAGAGAATGTGCCTGGCGGAAATACTAAGTGATATAATAAAAATTCCTCACAGGACTATAAACTTTCTTACATAGTCTTACAGGACTATTTTTTATTTTTATTTTTTTTATTATATCCTATTACAGGATATTTTAAGGATAGAATGAAGAAGTGATTCCTGAATTTGGATTACAGGAAGCTCGATCTTATTATATAATGTCATTTTACTGATCATCTCCCGCTGAGAGTCTAAACTTGGAACAGCAGAGAAACATCAGCATTTGGCAATAGACAGTTGGGAGCCAGGAGGAAGCGATCCAAAGTAGCATTTGAATATGTTTTTGTAAGCGGAGAAATGAGAAGAAGCAGTGTGAGGACTAAAGAGCCTGTTCAGTAGGGAAAGGACTAGTGGCTAAAAGAAGCCTGTGAAGTCATTGTTAGCTAAAACCTTTCTTTCTCCTTTCACTTTTATTTTATTTTTTTTTTTTTTAAATTCTAAAAAATGCTACATGAGTGGCAGAGATAGTTCCAATGAATGTTGCGTGTTTGTTGTGTTGGGACTGGGTTACAACATGAAGCATGTATAGTGATGCATAAGGAGGATGATGATTGTGTGTGCCTCTCATTTTTCCAGGTCACAATGTGAAGTGCCTAGGGCATTTTTGAAAACTGTTGTGACTTAGGTAAAGTCATTTATAACATAAAGTTAATATTGAGCAGAGCATGGAACAGTTTGCTCAGACTAAAATCAAGGCATAGGGGGTGTCAAATTCCTGTCTTGCCTACACTGCATCTTCAGCAGGGTACACCAGGTTTATTGCCTAAGGGCCTGCATTGTGGATACAGCTGAGTTTCTCAAGGTTAGAATAATAATACATGGTCTCTGAAACATGGGCATAAGTGCTCAGCAGTTGTAAATGCAACTATTTATCCTTGCTTTATGAATTTTCAGAATAAAGATGTTGGATAAAATAAGAGCCCAAGGGCATCCATGGGGGACATTGCTGGACATTATTTCCTTATCTAGATGGAATTACTATTTATATAATTAGCCTCTCCTGAGTTAGACAGACAGCTTTTGATCCATTTAATTGTATTTCTCTCCAAACCAATTTGATTTAATTTCCCCATAGGATATGGTGTGACATAGCATCAAATAAATTTTGTGAAATCCAGACAGACCTCCTGCATGCCATTCTCATAGTTCTGCAGTAGTATCAGCAGCAGAAAAAAATGATCAAGATGGCTTGGGACATTTGGTCTCTATTAATTCATTTATGATTCTATTTAGCAACTAATTCCAGGCTTCCAATTATCATATCTAACTAATGTAGTATGGAAGATATTAGATTCTAGCAGAACTTTCTCATTTCATAGAATGGCCTGGGTTGAAAAGGACCTCAAAAATCATATAGTTTCAAACCCCTGCCATGGGCAGGGCTGCCAAACATTTTTCAATGTCACAATTGCAACTTATTAATGCTAATTACTCAGAAAACTATTCTATACTCTGCAGCTAACTCATTGATTTCTGTGCTTCCAGCCCTGTTTACATTAATCAGATATAACAAACATGTCTTGATCTAAGCTAACCTTTGCAGCAGAGTTTTTGTGTTTTGCTTTTCATCTATGCTGGGTTTTTTTTTTTTTTTTTTTTTTTTTTTTTGTTTTGTTTTTTTTTTTTCATTTCTGGTCAAGTTGCACATCTGAAGCTGTTTCACACCAATAACTAGGAAAAGTCTACTGTGCTGAGCTCTCACTCTCTGAACAGAGAACAGGTGGAGAAAATCCTGATGAAAAAATGCTCATGGATTGAGGTAAAATCAGGGAGGTCACTCAGCATTTACCATAACAAGACAAATAGACTCAGCATACAGAGAAAAAAGTAATTTCTTACATACAGGTAGCAGATGAATCAAAGAAATCTATACATAGAAACCTAACAGTGAAGTTTTGTTACTGTTAAGCAAGGTATTTACTGGCAGCACAGGAGTAGCATTGAGACAACTCTCCAAGAATGCTCCACCAGTTGATTGTTTGTGAACAGATTATATTTTCACACTTATTACACATTCATTACATTCCCAAATTCATTAACCAACACTTGCAATGATTACCCAACTAACACAGCCATATTTGGCAATCACTTAGTATCCTTCCAGCATCGTGATGGTCCACTGTTAGTCTGTTGTTAGTCCTTGGAGTGACTGTTTACTTCCTCCCAACGCTCCTTTTGTCCCAAAGATTGCTATGGAATGCAAGAACAATGGGAGAAATCTCTGCAGGTACAGATTACGAAAACAAAGAGGAATGTCTTGATACTCTGTCACATTTCAGGCAAATTCTACCTGGCATGTGAGGATCCTGCCTTTAATTACATCTTCAGTTAACAGACTAGAGCAGAAACAATTAAAAGTAAACTAACAATACGTTTTCCTCATCCACCTTCTATTAATTCCTCCCAATGAGTGGTGCGGTGAAATGGGGAAGAGGAGTTGTGATCAGTACATAATTCTTTGTTATATGCTTCCCCTTCATGGTCATGAATGCACTCCTCCCCATAGGATGCTTCCCTTCACAAAATATTTCAACATGGGCTTTCAAAACTCCAAGCACCATCCCAACACGGCTCAATAACGCAAAGCCCTTCAGGCACTTCCCCACACGGATCCCCCCGAGCGGCAATTCCCGCAGTCCTCCCGCCTCCGTGGCCTCATGGAGAGCTCAGCTCAGCCCGGATACCCGCGGACTGCAGGGTCCTGGGCTGTACGGAGCTGCTGCTGTGCTCCCTCAGTGCCTCCTGCTGCGCTTACCTCGGTGCCTGCGGGGCCGCTCCTCCTACATCTCGCACCCTTCTCCCACCTGCGGCTGCATAGCAGTTTCCCTTCCCTAACTCCGCTCTCCTACAGTACCCGGCTTCACTTGTAGCTCTGCTCCAGCAGCGGTGGTTTCCCTTGAAGCAGGTAGAGCGGCTCTGTTCATACATGGGACAGTGCAGAGTTCTGCTCATAGAAGCCCCCATGCAGCCCCCTTCTACCAAAACCTTGCCATGTAAGCCCAGTACAGTAGCTAAAAACATAGTTTTGGATTTTTAGGTATTCCAGTGACCTCCTTGTAGTCTGATTTTCCCACTTATGGTTTTCCTTAACTGGAAGACGTAACGCCAATAATTTTGCTCTTTTATGTCTTTGTATATGGTTCTTTTGTATGTTTAGTTGATTCTGCCACATGGTCCAGCTGCAATCATTTTTTATTGTATTTTATTATTTTATTTTGTTTTATTTTATTTTGTTTTATTTTATTTTATTTTTTTCAGGGAACAGCTATTGATGTATCTGTAGGTCTTTGACGTGGTCCCCCACAACAGCCATCTATCCAAATTGGAAGATATGGATTTGGTGGGTGGGTGGACTGTTCAGTGGAAAAGGAACAGGTTGCAGGATCATACCCAGCAAGTAGTGGACAGTAGCTCAGCATCCAGATGGAGATCAGTGATGAGCATTGCTCCTCAGGGATCAGTAGTGGGACCGAGGATCTTTAACATCTTCCTCAATGACATCAACAGTATTCAAAAGACTCAGGAAGACCTCGTGAGTTTTAACAAAGGTAAGTACAAGGTCTTGCACCCGGGTTGTGGCAATCTCTGCTAACAATACAACCTGAGGGATGTGTATGGGAACTGCTGAATCATGGCCTGAACCTTTGATTGATTACCTGAGGTGAGCAATGAATCAGCCAGAGGAGCATAGGTGAAGGCAATTCACCTGTGCTGCCAGAAAGGGTGGAGCCTGGCTCAACTTCTCCTAGACCTATTTAAGAGCTGACTACCAGGTAGGAATGGTCTCTTCTGGAGATCCTTTCTCTGGAGTTTTGCAGCAAACCTAGGATGTGGGTAAGTATTCTATTTATTCTCTTTTTGTTACCATAGACTGTTTAGCTAAGCTCTCTGGTTTATTTTGTAATTATAGCATCTTTATATTCATTGATTATACAGGATGTATTGATGGAGTACAGTTCTACTGAAAAGGACTTGGGAGTACTGGTGGATGGCAAGCTGGATGTGAGCCAACAGTGTGTCCTCTCAGCCTAAAATGCCAACTGTATCTTTAGCTACATCAAAAGAAGCATGGCCAACAGGTTAAGGGAAGGGATCTTGTCCTTCTACTCTGTGTTGGTGAGATCTCACCTGGAGTTCTGAATCCAGATATGAAGTTCTCAGTACAGGAGAAACATGGACTTATTGAAATGCATCCAGAGGAGTGCCATAAAAATGATTTAATAGATGGAATATATCCCCTATGAGGCCAGGCTGAGGAAACTAGGGCTGTTCAGCCTGGAGAAGAGAAGTGTTCAGGGAGACTGGATAGAGTGGAGATCTATATTGTAAATGAGGAAGAAGTTTTTTTACAGTAAGGGCAGTCAAGCATTGGAACAGGTTGTCCAGTGAGGTGGTGGATGTTCCATCCCTGGAGTCATTCAAGATATGGCTGGACAGGGCTCTCAGAAACGTTACACGGCTAAAGGTGTCCCAGTTCTTTGCAGGGAAGTTGTACTAGATGACCTTTAGGTGTCCCTTCCAACTCAAACAATTCTATGAGCCTGTGATTCCGTTTCACCTGTCTTTCAATGGATTAATTATCTATCAGCAACCATAGGAAATAAAAAATAAGTCCAGTGCTAAATCAGACATGATTCATTTTCTTTGGCCTGCACTCTCTGACAGAGGCTAATATCTGAAACTTCAAAGAAAAATGGAAAATAATAAAACAAAATTCTGCTTTCAGGAAAGCAGAATTTGAAGGATTTAAAAAAAAAAAAAAAAAAAAAAAAGCCCTAGTAAAAATCTGTAGAAAATAGTAGTAATTCTTTATAATCTATTCCAAATATTTCTCTCTGTTAAGGAAAAGGGTGGAATTGCCTTATAGATTAGAATAGCTCTTCTTTCTAATAATTGGTTATGTCAGGCAAATGTAGCCTTGACGTCTTAAACATCCTATGTAAAACATTCAGCTTTAAATTTCTGAAGAGTCAAAGGTTTAAAAAGCAAATAAGTTATCTCTTGATATACATACAGATGTATTTGTTGTGTGATATAAACTTCTAGTCTAGGCTTAAAGCCTTTTAAAATAATTATTAAATATATTCATAAATGTATTTTGTGTAAGGTTGCTATAAGTTTGTCCTGTTTTGAAATTGTTAAAAAATGCTTTCTATCTTTTGTATTTGAACTGCTTCTGTAGTACAGAAGTAGTCTAGTTTCTAATATCTGTTTCTTAGAAGATGATGAAAATTAAGAACATTGTAAATTTTTGGTTTTTTTAGCAAAATCTTGGAGAATCATAGATAGGTATACACATGAGAATGAAATTTCTTGCAGCAAACACCGTCAAGTGTTTGTTTGCTATCTATTACAATGATAAGTATTTTATATTCCTTTTCTCTATTACTTATTGTGGAAATAAAAAAAATCTTTTCTCATTAATCTAACTATTTTAGGATTTGGAATTGCTTATTTATGAAGTAAATGAAATTATGGCTTTTCAATTTTCTTAGCTACAAGCTGTGAAAAGAAATTTTAGTACTACTAATGGTGTATTTTTCACCTTCTTATCTATAATGTAGAAACAAAATCATTTCATTTCGTGAAATGCTCTTTATAGCAACCTTAAAAACTATAATAACCATTGTGTTGGGAGCAGTATGTGCCTTCTTGTGCACAAAATACAGTGCCTTGCATTGCAGGCTTGAAGAAATAGCAAGTAAGGCATTATTTTTATCATTATTTTATGATTTTTTTTCTTTCCTACAGCACAAACACATCCTGTATCAGTCAAGGTTCAGTGCTATGGTTGTCTTTTCGTCAATGCACATAATTGCTGAAGAGTGGTCTTGTTAATTATTGAAAGCTTGTCTTTAGATCAATGGGGAAAAACAAAAAAAAAAGTTAGTGAATGAAAATACCCAAATTTCTTCAGGGATAAATAAAATATTCCACTTGATACAAATTTTACTTTCTAAAACTCATATCAGAATTAACCTTGAGTTTAAAAAGGCCAATCACAAATTGTTTTGCTGTGGTTAGTTGGTTGGTGGAAGACTGAATGTCAGCTGAAATTTGAAAAGCAAATTGTTTTCCCCTCAGTCTGTAATCAGCAAGTCTTTGCATTTAAGAATGACTATATAAAAACAATACAGTCTTCAGGGATTTCTTTAATGGCTACAGTGGGAAAAGGACTTTTCTTAGTGAGATAGTTCTCTAGTAATTTAAAGATTGTGCATGTATATATAAAGTGATCATTTAGTAGTTTCACTTCTTAAAATTAGGTCCTAATGACTTTAATATGCTGTCAAAATTTACATTTCCTGTATTTTTAATATTAAAAGTGCTCATGTTTTTGTATGTTTGCACTCAAGTAACATTTTATAAATGGTTTCTAAAAGCATATGAAAAATGTATTGTAAATCATACAAATCTAATATAAGTTAAATTTTGAAAATTTCAGTGTAGTTAGTAAGTGTAATGACTTCTCTTCAAAAGAGAAGGATGAATTCACAACTACGTTTCTTTATTCTGCAAGCATGTCTTTAATTGTGCAAGATACAGGAAGGTGACCTTTTCTCCTATGCAAACAGAAAATATTTTTTCAGGAACACATTTAATTGAATTTCAGCTGTACCATTCCCATTCCAACAGGAAAAAGGTCTTAAGAGACAATAAAATCAAGGGTATGCTTGAATAACAAAGCTTTTCTTTTTCCTAGTACTTTTGTTAATAACGGAGAACATAAAGTAAATATGAATAGACAAAAGTAAACTGAATAGACAAAAAAAGTGAAAGTGTAGATACAAGAAATAAGTGAGCTGGAAAAGAAACGCCAAGCTATTTTCATGCTCTTAATTTAAGGAATGGAAATGTAATTTTGGGGATGCTTGTTTAAAAAAAAAGTGATGAATATAAGAAATAAATGAAAATTATGTAAGGTATTAGATCTAAATATGAAGTTATTGAGACTCAATACTAAAAAATACTAATGGTATGTAAAACTAGCTTCATAAATATGATTTTGGCCATAAATTCAGTAACATTTGACACTCATAGACAGTAGTCAGTACTTGCTGCCAATCATAACTAAGTAAAACTTTTAATAATTTAAAGGTTTAATTTTGCTGCATTTTTTGTTACTTGTGTGTTTCTGTACATTTTTGTTCATTGTAGCTACTTCTGCTGCTTTTTCATTTTTCTCTGCTACATCTTTCCATTACTTTAGGCTGTTATTTAAACTGAATTTTGTCCATAAATAATAAAACAGAACTTTCATCTTACAGAGGTGCTGTTGCCAAGATAGAATCTAGTGTAAGCTGAATCAAAACAAAATTGAGAAACAAATTCTTCTCAATGTTGTATAGAAATTGTTGGATAGAGATTCTGCTGAATTAAAAAAAAAATAAAAATAAAGAAATCTGGGTGAAGCAAAGGAAACAAAGCCATATACGTGAGGGAGCTTGCATAAACTGGTTTTGTAATCCTCTTAAATAGTACAATATAACTCTCTGGGAGGGTAATGTACAAGCTCTATTGTAAGGACACTGCAAGGAGGTTTGACTTTGGGACTATCAATGTGATTTTATGTTAATGGAATTGGAAGCCAAAGTTAATAGCTAGGAATTGCAATTATTTTTCTGAAACAATCTGAGCTGGTTAAACAGAGTCAGTGACATCAGAGAGATAATGTTTAAGTCCTAAGACTAGAATACAATAATTCTTGTGTACCTAAAGCATTACTCAGTGAAGAATAAGAATGATAAATATTTACCATATGTTTAATATAATAAGGACATAAACAAATAACTATTTAAAATGACCTATGTATAACTTGTTATTTAGGAAAATGAACAGGGGAAACTAATGAGCAAAATATTAGAAGAGTAAACACATACATACACAGCTCTTTTTCAAAACAAGAACACTCATAAATGTCATCTCCCATTTTGTTAGGTGTCTAACTAACACTTGTTAAATATCCCTACAGTGTTGCAATCTTGCTGAATTTGATAATGAGTCTGTGAAATTATTTGGAGCTCTAGTTAACAAACAAGTCTTATTGTTGTAAATGACTTTGTGACTTTCTTAGATGGCTTTGAAAATAGTTGCAAAACACAGTATTTTGATATATTATTGCTTCTCACATTCACTATTAAGAGGGAATTTTTGCAGCTGTGACTGATTTCAGCAGCTTCAAGTCACTCATGGTTTTCAGCTGAATATTTGACTTTTTAGTTATGTCCTGGGATTATATGGTATAGTAAACAGAGGAAGACTGTGAACATGTTGCAGTTCTACTGATATCTTCCTCTATTCTAACCTTAGTTTTGTTTTGCAAGTGAAATATATCTTTTTTGTGTGTGTGTGTGCACATCTGTTTTTAAACAAGAGATGTGTCATTTACATTAATTTCTTTTCCTGTTATGTCAAAACTCTTTCTTGGGCATTTTTTTCCTAAAACTTGATTTGAAAAGAGTGAAAGCAGCATATTTTCAGTATTAGATTTCTCTGAGGACAAAATCATTTCTTACAGTGTGTTTCTTAATCCATGTTAGTCTTCTACTTAGACATATAAACAACGGTTTAACTGTTTTTCCCAAGTCCAAATTCCATAATTGTGAACATCCAAGACACAATAAATCTGAAGGGTTGCATAACTTGTGGTAGCTGAAGAAATATTTTTTTCAGTGACCATGCTTCAACACAATTTCGTAAAGTTACCCAAGCACCACTCCTATGTCAAAAGGAGGAATGCTTCCATTTTTTTTTTTTTTTTTCATGCAAAATCTCTTCATAATGGATTTTCACATTGTTGGAGGTGTTTTCACACAGTTTTGGAGATTATGGATGGATAATTTTTGCTGTTTTAAGCTTTCTGCTAAATATATGTCCAATTTGGTGCGGTTTTGCACTTCACTTATTCTAGCACTTTTAAACAAATGAATCCTAGAAGTTCTTTTGTAAATTTAGCTGCTTTGAATAACCCAAATAATCATTTTTGCATCACATTTCCTACAAAATCAATAACATTTATGGATTCCCTGCAAATCATTCATCAAAACAATTACATTTTTATATGGTACATGAAAAATATGCATAGAATTGCTCCTATTTAATTATGATGGACTACTCTATAAAAGTATAATAAATTAAAGGTTTCCATTTTATTTAGTTATGACATTAATATATTTGACCTTACTAAAACCTGTCACCATTAGAGATATTTTTGGGATTATAATAGTCTATATTCTAGTATTTTAGATAATATAGGGACAGATTTTTCATTTTCTTTAATAGCTGTGTAAAAGCATCTAACATCTTTACTGTGTAGGGTTAATATTTTTAGCAAGTTGTCTTATTAAAGAATATAACTGTTCTATTTGCTTGATATGGGTGGATTTTTCTTTGCAGCAGTTATTAACTCAGAAAACTCATTCCTAGTTTTGAAAATCTCTATGGAGCAACTTTACTTCAAAATAAAACTCTCAGAAAGGTTCATTAATGAAGCCGATAGCAATTCAAAACAGAAGAATAATGTGTAAAATTTTTGTTTCCACAAGCAAGGATTTTTTTAGTGAATTTGTATTTATTAACCTTGTGCTTTGGACAGTCTTCTGTCTGTTTTCAGGAACAAGAAAAAAAAAGAGGAAAAATAGGTTGACTGGTAACTTTTCATATGCTTCTGAATACAACCTAACTATACCTGAACATGAGAGGTAGAGCAGACTGTACTCTTGTGTTCATTATTATTTGTGGATGAAATAGGTGAACAGAGCAGATGTTCTAGAAAGCTTTCCAGATTGGACACCTATTGTCTGAATGCTAAGGGTCTACATTTGATTGCTCAAGGTTGCTTAGTCTGGATCTGGGCTTTTTCAGCCAGAAGGCTTGATGGGACCTAGTTTACTGCCTTTCACCATCTAGTAAACAAATAGAGGAGATGGAATCTGACTGTTCTCAGAGGTGAATTGTGGAAGGATATAATGCAGTGGTCACATATGGCTGCAAGGAAAACACAAAGTTAACAAAAACTATAATGGGGTCATTAAGCACTGGAACAGACTGTTTGGAGATGCAGGCAAATATCAGTGCTCAGTGGTATTCAAAACATAAATGGACGTAGTACTGAGCAAAATAAACTAATTGTAAGTTGATCATACTTTAAGCAGGAAAATGGATGGTATGACTTCCATTAATCCCTTCCAAATGCAATTATTATTTGAGTCTATATAAAGAAATAAGTAATGATATATGCAGGCTCTGCTGGAGGTTTGTTTATTTGTTTGCTTTTTCCAAACAATGTACTATTGTGAAATATATTGCCTGTATGTAGTGCTCAAACTGATCTCTTTGTCTTGTTATGGTCATTTAGAATTTCATATATAATCCAATTCATATTGGATTTGCTCAGAAATGCCTGTCTCAGTTAGTTACCTCCTTATTAGGACTCGATTATAGTCACAGTGTGGTTGTAAGCACTGAAAAATTCTGATGTGGATTTTGATTAGATATACATTTTGATCACAAAACTTACTTTTTCCAGTCTTCTTGAAAATGTCATTTGATGCTGAATCTCTGCTTCTTACATAGGTGCTTGTTCCACCATATTCCACATGCACGCAATTTCAAATGCAAATGATTATGTTCTGCAATTAAAATGCAACAAGTTTTCAATGTCAGCAGAAGGTGAGAGTTCATTCTTAAGTATTTGCTTTTATATATATATTTTGTAATTTGTTGTATAACTTTCTGTTTAACCCTTGCATGGAGTCATATTTTAACTATTCTTGATGACAAATTGAAAGATTTCTCTAGTCACATTTTATATATGGTGCCTGGTTTTATTAACATAAAATCTCCAGGAATACAGAACCAAAGTACTGTTTACTGACAAGAATGATGAGGAACCAAAGAAAAGAACTCTGTTTCACTATGCACATGTGGCTTCTCAACACTTATTCTCAAGTTTGATTGGTCTTTTAGTAGTAATAAAGTTGTCTCCCTTCCTTGCCTTGCCTTCTGGGTCAGGCTTCTGGAGAAAGTATTATGTAAGCTTGTGTCACAATCAGTGCTGTGAAAAGGCATGTATACAGTAAGGTAATCTTTAAAATCAGAAGATGAATGTTTGCAATGATATTCTGTCTACAGAAACTGTATGTCTGCACTTGCAATTTTAAAGTTTTTATACCATGGCTGATATGGTACTTTGGATTTAAGTCATTTCAGTGTTTGAAAGTGATGGTTTAATTATGTGAACTAAATTAGATAAAGCAGACTGTGGAAGTGTGATGCTGATGGAGATAAACCAAGGATTCAGCAGCAGTGAACTGTTGGTTTGGTTCACTTGATCAACCAGTCTTATGGCACTAGTTCATCTAAACTCCAAGCTCTTGTCACCATTACTTGAGAAAACTTTGTCCAATGCATGTATTGTGCCAATTCTTTCAATTTCCAGTTGTATTTTCATTACTGAATTTAAATATCATAACTGATTAAAACCAAAAGAAGATGCAAGGAATCCCTATTTTAGTATGATATTCTAGCTTTAAGAAGCCACCACTATTTTCTGCTTTCAAGTATGAGAAGAACAAATGCTCTTGCTTTAAGATACAAAATGGAGAAATAAAACGAAGGGTTAAAATAACTGATAAATTTTACACTTTTTTATATTCTCTCATAAAGATATTCTAATGTCTTACAGTTGAGTTGTAAATTCAATCATCTTGGGACCGTTTTGGATGGTATTTTTAGAAAGAAGTTACAAGTTTACATATACATTTTTCCAGTTATAGAAGATCATGTCAGAGTCTTGCAAGGAAGCTGACAATAACACAAAGATCAAAAAAACTAATATAATTGAGCTCATAGTCTCATTCTTTTATATACTTCCCAATCATAGTGGAATAAAAAACTACCATATTAATTTGTTAAATTTTAAAATTAGTATTAAATGAGAATGGTAACAGCTTTGTATTTAAATATTTTATGTTCACTCACTTTTCAGGACTGCTAAGGAGAACTGCATGGCGTATATGGCAACATACAAAATAAAGAGAGGAAAAGAGGTGTTGTAACTAAGTTATTTCCAGGTGTTGATTGTGACTGGTCAGAGTTGTTTAATTGTGTGCCCTTTGTAATCTTTAAAAAAAAATAATAATAATTGGGTAACTCAATGCCACCTGTTAGTGACTTTTCCATGATTTTTTTGGTGTGAATGTTCTTGCCACATATTTTCAAGATTGGTAATCTCAAGTGTTTATCAGACCATTGGCATGGTCCAGACACTCAGAGCTGGCACAATGGACTTCAATAGAGTGGACAAAACTGTTTTATGTTCAGTGATTTCCAGGAAGTTGAGAGCAAAGTCCAGGGAGATACTCTCTGTTTTGGAAAGTCAGAAGCTTGAGGTAAGTGTAGCTTCAGCTCTGATCAAGACACACAGAATTCCAAGGCTCTGAGGGGTACAAGTGTACCATAAGTAGACAATGAGTTATTCATTGTCTCTGCAAACTGAAAAGATCAGAAATATTACAGAAGCATTGCTCTGTTTATAGCCACTGGTGCCTGCAGTTTTATTTCATGACATGACAGATAGGGAAGGTAGGAGAACAGTGACAACAGCTGACCCTGGCAGTGACAGCCTTCTTTCTATAGGCCCTGGCAGCAAAGAGCAGCAATTGAGGGCATAATTTTAAGAGTCCAGGAAAGGCTGAGATGAGATATTCTGGAATGTCATCGTGGTAGGTTTTTCTTGTTTGTGGTTTTTTTTTTTTTTTTTTTTTTTTGTGGGTTTTTTGTTTTTTTCCTCCTCTGGAGAGAGATGTAGGTGTTTGATTTCCATTTTAATCTCCTTGTAATTTTAATCACCTCAGTAAGTGTACATTATCTATTTATTTGCCACTCTGTTAGCTTATTTCTCCCAGCATCACTACGTCCTATTTCCTCTTAAGTTGTTCCTTACATGATATATCACTGATGTCAGAAACTGCTCTGTATAGTACAAGGTCCTGGAAATGGCTGAATTTCTGGTAAAATCACTAAGGAGAACACTGTGGAGCGGTGACAGATATGTAATCTGACAAGTGATAGTTTGCTCTCATGCAAGGCAAACAATTCTGTGCTTATTTGCTTTTATGTACATTTACACTGCTGTAGAATGCAGAACAGGATTGTTTCAAGCTGTAATCTGTATAGTTATAAGCAAGCTCTACTGTGTGTAAGTTACAACTTGCTTATCTATGCACAGAATATTTTTCGGAGAAGGCTTCCAGCATTTTCATGATCATCTGAAACAAGCACTTTTATTCCCTTTTCAGCCTATATGTAGTTCTTCCCATGAGCTGAGCAGCTCTCTCTAGAATAAACTGAGCAAATCACTTGACTTTCTTTCCTTCTCATTATTGAAATCCATATTAGAAAGCGGAGCATGTGCAGATATTCCATTTACTTTATTGTTAAACAAAGCAAATTTGTTGGCAAGACCTTCTTCAGGTTATGGCCTTGGGTGGTGTCTCGCTCCAATTTACAGGAGGAAGAGAAGGTTCTTTTTAATATATGTATACCTGGCATGAGATTAAACAATGGTTCAAATGTTGGTCTGACCAGTTTATTACAAATCTTAATCAGGGAGATGAGGAAGGGGAGGACAGACGCTATTATGAATTAGGGTAATGGGGAAGGGAAGAAGGGTGATAGAAAGGATGAGAAAGAAGAAGCAAGGAGTCTTTATAGGAAGCAAGAGGGAGGTAGTCACCACCATGGATTCAGCATGGCTCATAGTTCAGTCATTGATCTTCAGTAGTGGTGGTTCATCAGGCATTGTTTTTCTATTGAGGATGATGGTGACCATGGCAATGATGGCAACTCTTCAATGGTAGTACCAGCTTATAAAGTGGTTGAGTCAGCTCTTCTTGGAGTGGCAGCTGCTGGCTTTGGGATCTCAGCAGAAACTCCTTTGTTATCATCTTCCAGGCCTTACCAGCAGATAAGAGGGAGCAGGGAGGAGCACATTTGTATCTTGCCTTCACAGGATACAATGGTATCACCCCCCAAGCTGGAGTTATTCGGTCACAGGTTAGATCTTCTGCTGGTAAACAGCTAAAACTGTCCATACAGTGATGTTGATTGCCCCATGGCAGCACTCATCTCCTAGAAAAGTCAGTCTTCTCACAAGAAATACCTCAGGAAGCAAGCTTTGAGCCAAAAGGAAAAAAAAAAACAAAGAAAGATTCTCACAAGTGGTTTACTAGTCAGCTGAGGTAGTATTGAGGCTATGAACCCAAAAATATGAATAACAAAACTCACACTAGTTATGTGCTTATTTTAAACTTTACGATTTCTTTCAAGTGAGTAGTTTCATTACATATGTATATTTCTGTGAGAAATAAATTGTAATATTTATATGAGAATTCTGAGTCCATCATTTAAAGCAATTTAAGAGAAAGAAAAACAGTGTGAAATACATGCATGAAGTAATACAAGCCACAGCATGGTTGTAGATATGCACTTGCAAATATAATTTCAAAAACTGCTACTTTTATGACCTTTGTGACAAACTGGGGATGGATTAATTCCCCCAAATCAGTTCTCTGATTATAGATGAAGGAAAATTGTCTTTTTTAATACTTCATTTTGACTTGTGATATCATTCAGCATTGCATCTGGTTGTAAATAGTCATGTCATATTGTGCTAATTTATACTACAATACCATCCCGAGAAGGGTGATGTAATGATTTATGGCATGTCATATCTTGATGTGCTCACCAAGGAAGTAGAGCATATACAGATCAATCCTTTCTGTAAACAGTTTGAATATATGGCATTTAAAATGAAAATATATTTCATGACAAGTAGAAAGCATAAGAATATCTGCTTTTATATTGGCCTATAGCAGTTGGAATTATCTTTGTGTTAGTTACTTCAAAACTGAATATTGGCAAACTTGGGTGAAAAAAAGGGTTGTGAGATACATAAAACAAAGAATTCCTTCTGTAAAAAGAAATATTGGGAATCTATTTTCAGCAGAGCACAACAGGAGTCTTCATCATAGTAACATTTGAAGTACTAATGGAATCTAAATGTTTAAATTCATAAAATAAATACAGTCAGTGGTAGAATAGATGAAACTTTGAAAAATTGCACTTTAATATATTTCTTCTTTTATAGTATTTGTGGTTGCAGTGTCCAAAATTATTCACAGGTATACATTAAGCATGACAGGAAAACCTGAAAGTTGAGTTCTTTGAGAACTTCATCTCTAAGAATAGCAGCCAGCAAACTTATCTGGGCACAGATCAGTTAATGACAGCCTATTTCTTAAATGTGTGAAAGAATATTTTTATAAGCAGATCATAGATTTATATGGTCAAAGACTCTTTTCTTCAATATGCTTAACTATGCAAGGAACAAACAAGAGACTTGTAAGTAAAGACAATTGGGATTTGATGGATTTTCTTTTACTCTTTCCTTGGAAGACTTTATCATAGTTCTTCAACCATTAAGCTTGTGTAAAGTGTTTGATGGTGTCCACCACCTCCATTAAGGGTTTTGAGGCCAGCAGGAGCAGTAACTAATATAGCTATCTAAAACTGTATTTATACAAAAAGGCTGTAAAACAATAAATGTAGAATTGGCTATTTACTTTAATGCTGTATCCTAGATGTTTGAAGGATGCTACTCAGAATGAATTGTTATTTCTGTCTTTTGGTACCAATTTTTCCAATTGTACTTCAGGTTTTTTGGAAGATATTCTGAAGATGATAATGGTTGAAAGCAATGAGGATGATGGATTTCACAGGTAATGTGTCATTATTCTAATTAGTTTAGCTAAATCACAGTAATTTACAATGAACTTGTTATAAATATATTCAAGATAGCACTCCTAGAATTATACAGAGGAGAGTCTGACCAGAATTTTAATCTTTTCTAAGAAAACAAAATATCATTGATGATTAGAGAAAAACTTGCACATAATGGGCAATAATTTTTATGCACCTCTGTAGGAGTAAAGTTGTAGTGCTACATTTTAGTACTTTGGTTTTTTTCTATTTTTCTGCCCTGGATTTTATAGATATGACATAATTAGAAGATTACACTTAATTCCATGTTCTATTTTTAAATGAAATGGTAAGCAGTTTATTTTACTGAAGGAAATGTTTGAAGGAATATTTTTTAGAGCAGACTAGCTACTTTGAATATTGTGTTTTAAATACCTCAAACTCTTTAATTTATTAAATATAAGTCACTAAGGTTGACTTCTCTTATCCCTGCAACTTCTAATCTTTGTCTATTATTGTTGGAAAATATTAAGCATATAAATATGCTGCACTATACTACTCTCTCACTCCCCATTCTCAAAAGAACAGAAGGAGAAAATATGATTTATAAAAAAAGCTCATAGGTTGAGATAAGGATGAAAATCACTCAACAATTACCATAATGTACAAACCAGATTAAGCATAGGGAAACTTTTTTTTTTTTTTTTTTAAATCTCTGCTCTGTAATTTAATTTTAATTTAAAAAAAAAAAAAAAAAAACAAAAAAAAAAAACAACACATGAGAACATCTTCCCCATCCTCTCTCTCCTACTTCCTCCTCCCAAGTTGCAGGGAATGGGAATGGGTGCTGCGGTCAGACCATAATGTTTTGTCTCTGTCACCCCCCCAGTGGTCACTTTGACCCTGCTCCACGTGGGTTTGTGCTATGTGATGCTGTCCTCCCTAAACTGATTCTGCATGGGCTTTCTGCAGATTAGAACTCTCCAAGCACTGCTCCAGCACAGCTCTGTACCACGGGGACAACCCTTCAGGGTGGTGCTGCTCAAGTAGCCATAGGCATCAGCTAACCGAGACCATGGAGATAGAGTATTCCACCATGGGACTCTCCTGGACTGCAGGGAGCTTCTGCTCTGTGTCTGGAGCACCTCCTGCCCTCCTTTTGCAGTGACCTTGCTGGTTGCAGGGCTATTTCACATTTCTCGCTCTTGAGCTGCTGTTGTGCAGCATTTTTTTTCCTCTTTATTAAACCTGCTCTCCAAAACTTGCAACCAGTGTTTCTCATGGTTCAGCTAAGCCAGGTTCCTGCTGGAGCAGCTAGATCTAGGTCTGCTCACAAAGGTCGACTCTGCAGCCTTGCTATGTAAGCCCAATGCAATTGTTCATCTTGTTCAGCATCAGAATGAGGATATTAGAAATGAACTAGCTTCTCAATTTTATATAAGCCTTAGTTATCTTTTCTGCCTTTCTGAACCGTTAGGTTTTAAGCAGCGAACTTGGAAATTTTAATAAAATTATTACATACTGTCCTTTGTCAAATTTGTAACAAAATTCTGAACCAAATTATCCTTATGTAAATTAATGTTTCATTTTGAATATTCAACATATTTTCCATAACGGAGTTTGTAATCATCATTGTCTTCTGAGATTTCTAGTAAGCTACTGTCATTCGGGTAAATCTTATAAACCTTTTGTTCTACCCTACAAGTTGTTACATGATTTAGTATAATTTATTTTAAAAAAAGATCTAAAAAACTTGATTTTGTAATTCCATTAACATTGCGCTATAATTTTCCATCCTTTGTTTCAAAGGTTAACATTTTCTTTTTTCTGTACTGAAGTGTATATATATAAAAGAAGAGGATAAGAACTAACAGTCATCCATGAGTTTTAGACCTTTTTTAGTTTGTATTTTTTTCTCCTTTATAAACTGTAATTATATTTATGTTCTCCTTTTGGTAACTCAGAAGCCAGTATTCCATTTTGGTCACAACAACCTGAGGCAACCCTACAGGCTTGGGGAGGAGTGGCTGGTAAGCTACCTGATGGAAAGTGACCTTGGTGTACTGATGGACAGCTGAATATGAGCCAGCAGTGTGCCCGGGTGGCCAAGAAGGCCAATAGCATCCTGGCTTGTATCAGGAATGGTATGGTGAGCAGGACTAGGGAAGTAACCCTGCCCCTGTACTCAGCATTGGCGAGGCCTCACCTTGAGTTGTGTTCAGGTTTGGGCACCTCAGTAAAGAAAAGACACTGAGGTGCTGGAGCAGGTTCAAAGAACGGCAACAAGACTTGTGAAGGGCTTGGAGGATATGCCCTATGAGGAGTGACTGAAGGAACTGGTACTGCTTAGTCTGGGGATAAGGAGGCTGAGGGGACACCTTATTGCTCTCTTCCAATATCTGAAAGATGCTTACAACAAGAGTGGGGTTGGTCTCTTCCCACAGGTGACAGGATGAGGGGAAATGGCTGCAAGTTGCACCAGGGTAAGTTTAGGTTGGATATTAGGAAACTTCTTTACAAAAGGCTTGTTAAGTACTGGAATAGGCTCCCCAGGAAGGTGGTTGAGTCACCATCCCTGGATGTATTTAACAACTGTTTGTATGTGGTGCTCAAGGACATGATTTAGCAGAGGGTTGTTATTAGGGTAGTATGGTTAGGTTGTGTTTGGGCTCCATGATCTTGAGAGTCTTTTCCAACCTGAGTGATTCTATGCCTCTAAGATTAGATGTGGAAAGCTGTTGTTTCACAGCTTGTAGTCAAATTGCTGTGCTTCATTTTTTAATTGTCCTCAACAGACCTTTTGGCAGCTCATCTCTTTGGATTTTCTTCAATTTGAAATTGCAAGGAAAAAAAAAAAAACACTTTGTCAAATAAAAGCAATGACTACTCGTAGAGAAGTGAATAAAAGACTGAGAGGAAAGAGAAGGGAGAGTAACAGACAGGGGAAAAAAAAGATTGATTTCAAGGTAGAAACATTTCACCACTCCTGGATCCAGTGTTGTCTTTAGTCTGAGTCTTGATCCATGGGTGGTGGGTCAATGAAGGTAAATGTGAATGTTCACCGTGATAGTCATTAAAGCTCCATTCTTTTCATTCTCAGACACTCGTTAGGCTAGTTGGTTGACTCAACAAGTTTCTTGCAAGGCTTAGAGGGTCTCCTAAGAACTTACGTCATCATCTAAGTGTTCAGAGTTGATTTGGAAAATGCAGGAAGCTATGGTTTTAGAAAAGAAGAATCCTGTGAAAATAAGATTCTTTCAGGAAGGTTGTCAACAAGACTGATGGAGAACTGAAATACCTTATCATACTTCAAAAACAACAGATCAACTTAAGTTCAGATCTGAAAACTAAGAAAGTTGACAGTGGGATGCTTAAGCTCATTGTTATAAGCAAGTGTAACAATCCAGAAGAAAGGAAAAGATATTCTTTAGTTCTTGTATTAAATAAAACTTAAGAGTGATGATATAATATATGCCTTTAAAGGGGGAAGAAAGAATAGTATGTAAAGGCAAAGGGTCTGTAAGCTTGGTCACAAAGACCAACCAAGTCCAATCAAATAGTTAAACTCATCACAATGTTATCAAACTACTGTAAATGATATGAATATTAAACCATATGCTATGTGGGTGAACTTCACAATTTAAGTTGTATAGTTATGAGTGCATGTGTGACATTCGTGGAAAACAAGGAACTTGGTTTTAAATTTAGAGTATGACCATGGTGTGAGATAAGCATCATTAACTCATTAATGCGAAGTAGTCAAGCTTAATGTGGAAGGTACTTCTTTGTAGTTTGCTTTGTTACAAAAGAAATATTTTGGAAAGAAGTGTCACAGTAAGGCCAAATACAGCTTTTATGTATCCTCTTGTATCAGTAAGTACTTCAATTTAAGAGCAGAACTTGACCCTGCAATTGACACTAAAATGTTTTGATTCTGTACAGTTTGTTCGCTAATCTCTGAAAATACCTGATGTTCACAGAGTTATAATCCTTTCATTAAAGCTGATAGACTAATTTATCCCATTCAAAGACCAAATATATCAGAATATTGAGCTTCTTCACCTCAATTTCTGCAACAGTTTTATTACCTGGTTACTGTATTTTTATTTGAAGATGCTGTTAAAGCTTTTACAAAATGAATGCAATTTAATATCTGCTGTTTACAAGTTCAAAGTCTTTTCTATTCAAATATGTGGAATATTAGGCTTTCTCTTTGATTTAGAACACTCTTGAGCTTTGACAGTCAAAGATTTCCAGTGTCATTTAGTAGAAGTTTGCACAGTATTTGAAATGGCAAAGCATAGAACTTCTTAAATAATTTGTTGTTTTATCTTAAAAAAAATCAATAAATTATTGGGATTTTTTAATTTTTTGTTTTGTTTTTAAGATTTGTTGTCCCAAGAACCATGTAGTCACAATCACCAGAAGTAATGCTGCTTTTTTTTTTTTTTTTTTTTTTTTAAAGACAGACAGGCTTACCCAGTTGTTTTGTATTTTTCAGAAAGATATAAATAAATTCGTGAATTATTTGTAATGAAATTAAGTAATTCTAAATATTTTCAAACTTTTTTCATCTTTTTTTTAAATTTTAGGCATAGAAGTCCAAATCTACCTTCACTTTTATGTAATGTCAAATTATGTCAAATTAGGCAGTTGTCTAGCTCTGAATTCTTGCAATGTTGTTGTTGTTGCCGATGATAATATTTTTATTGTGGGGAACATATTCAAGAAGTGGAATAAATAGGTAAAGCCTTGAAGATGTTTAAGAATTGCTTGTAGGCTTCCAATATGATTTTAGACATTATTTTTAGATTTATAATGCAATTTGACTGAAAAACTAGCCAGCTTGCTTCCTGTGATGTATTAGCCTGAAACATTTCTGGTTAAATCTTGAAGCCATATGGTCTCATTAGTATTTAAATAAGAGATTACCCAAGAAAACACAGATGCTACTGAGTGAGGATCCTACAACATCCTCCTCTTCTGTTTTTTCTCAGATTAATCTTTCTTTTGATCAAAGGTTCTGAAAGTACTTCAGTAATATTCCTATAGAGTTTCAAATCATTTGAGATTTAGACTCACAGTAGATTATTTTGTATCCTCAGTATTATTCCTTTCTCTTCCTGAAATCTGACTGATTTTAATGGACTGATGCTGTTTTCTCAATTTTGTGAATTTGTTTGTTGTTTGCTAGACACCTTTAATCTATATTGATAATTGCTGTGTATATGTTGATAAGGGATTTTATTTCTCTGAGATTACGTTCTTTAGCAAAATATGTCTAAACATGGATCAGAGTAGGAAATAGTTGAAGAAACTTCAATGAACTGTGTAGAAAACGTTAAAATAATTAAATACATTTTTTTAAAGTCATATGTTTCACAGGCTATATTTCATAAAGGATTAATAATTTCCTGTTCATATTAAAAAAAATAGACTGTCATAAACAAAATCCCAGATCCTCACAATTCTACATTCATTAAAATGGATGTTAATTTTTAGCACATTGTAATAAATGAACCATATGAATGCAGACTACGAAGTACTGTGGAGAGAGGGAGGCTGTTCTGTGTATGAAATCTACATCCAGTACTGTCGTATTCTATTGATATTTACTGATAGAAGTTTGGTTTGAATGTCTTTTGGCTTCAAATAGTTGAGACTTGGCTTCAGGTGTGAGTTGATGTAACACTGATGATACCCTAAAAAAAACTAAACACCTGTTCAGAGTAAACCTGCCAAGTCCCTTCACTTCTGTAGTTTTAAGACTTTAAGGCTTTGAAATGTAGCTGAATGTTCTGCTTCTTTAATATCTACACAAGGAATCAAAAATTGATTTTTGTTTTGTTTTCTTTCAAAGTCTTTCATAGAGTCTAGCTATTATAGGGAAATGACATGAACATTCAAAGTAGTACTAGAAATACAAGGCTTATGTAAGGGTTTGATCTTTTGCATTTTACATACAAGGATAATAATTCAATAAAACATTAATTGTTTCAACACATTGAAAGAAGCCTGAAAAAAAGGTTTTGAGGCTCCAGTTTAAAGATTTCAGATTGTTGTATGCTGATAATATTAAATATCTTAATCCTGTCTAAAATAGAAATATATTTATATATGAGATTGTAATTAGTGTAACTGAGACTGTTTTGTTTTCTCTTCCAATTTCTCACAAAAAAAACCTATTAAATGTGATCTCTAAAATTTGTACTGAATATTTGCACAATCTACATATAAATGAAATATCACTGGACTTCTAAGGGAGCCATTTAAACTAGTCAGTGATTCATCTTCTGAGCAAGGTGAATCTTTTTCTTTCTAGGAGTCAAATCTTTAAATACTGTCTCACTTTTACTGCCTATATGGGGTTAGATTCTTCTACAGTGAATGCACTGAATAGAAGTCAACTAAACCATTGAATGTATTCTATCCTAATAT